GCTTCGCTGGCGATCATCAAAATTCTATCATTTGATTGGCTGTTGATCACATGATGTGCCTCCGCTTTAGACGACCCTTTTTTTGGTAATACTTTTTTTTCCATATATTGACAGCCTTGCATTTTTTTTTTTTTTTTTGACATCCCTGTTAATATAGAATAATATATATTATTAAGATTTTTGTTAGGTTTAGAGTTATAATTACATATTAACAAGGGTAATAAGAGTATAAATAATACTTGCCAATTCATAATTAACAAATTTCAAAAATAAAAAATAATAATCTATTTACTGCGTGTGTAACGGGCACCACAGATTTTTCATTGATTCGTTATATCTCTATCTAACATGTTCGTACGTACGAACGTACGTTACGACCGTATGTACGTACGTCCGTATGTACGTACGTGGATTTGACATATATTCTCCCTTACATTAGGCAGCATAACGATAAACTTTTGATCCATAACGATAAAATATCGTTAGTCTAAAAATAACACGTACACACATGAAAACTCAGAATAAACTTCAGAACTCCAAAACCAGATTAATTCGCTTCCCAACAAAAAAAAAAAAAGGGAAAAAAAAGGAAAAAAAGTAATGGTATTCTGGTATTCTGTCTGTATTCATAATAAAGTACACTGCACAAACTATTGGTGAAGACGCACACAATTATGTTTCAATCATATGATCCAGGTTTTGATACGTACGTACGTAGTAGCATAATGATGCATGTCAAAAATTTTTCTTGGCATCGGATCATTAATTGAGTGGGAAGTACATTAGATGCAGCCATCAAATAAAAAACGTGTTCCAATAAAAAAGCTAGATTGTGACAACTGCCCCGTGTGAAAACTTTTTATCACAGGACATTATATTATACATAGTTTTATACTTATACGTAAGTATGTACGTACAGTACATACGTAATTGTTATTTGAATTTTATATGGCGCCCCGGACATTTTAAGCCATACTTTCTAATTAAAGTTCATTAAATGCTTATCTATAAACCAATTGACAGAAGACACGTTATCGATGCTTGTAAAACCCTTAAAAAAAGAAAAAATGTTCAAGTTATCTTTACCTTCATTTTCTCGAGGAAATCCCTAATCATTTATCTTTATACTTAATAATATTATTAATACTATCCTTGTCTTTAGTGATTACTTGTTTTTTTTCTTGTGCGTTATTTGGAATTTTTGAACTTTGATCTATTTTAAAATAATAATGGACGACCCCCATGTAAAAACTTGTGAAGAAATTTTAGAGGATTTTAACGTTGATATAAACAGAGGTTTAACGGAAAAGCAGGTTAAAGATAATGAAAAAAAATTTGGGAAGAACGGTATGCATTAATTCTTCGAGTTTTTACTACTTATGGTTTCGATATACGCAGATCTATTATCCTTGAGTCCAAGATTACCTACATTTTTAATTCTTCATTTCATCGTTTATCTTGATTTCTGTTACTTTATCATTAGAAATATTAATTTTTTTTAAAAAAAAATTATATAGAGCTTCCTCAGGAAGAACCAACTCCCTTACTGGAACTCATTTTAGAACAATTTAAAGATCAACTCGTTATAATTCTTCTAATTTCTGCTGCGATATCTTTTATACTGGCTTTAGTTGAAGACTCTGAAGAACAGGGTACTGCATTCGTAGAACCAATTGTGATTCTCCTAATTTTAATTGCCAATGCTACTGTAGGAGTTATACAAGAAACTAATGCTGAGAAAGCTATTGAGGTATTAATTTTCTGTTAAGATTCGTTTTTTTCATTCTTTTGTTTTTATTAATTCGCTGATTCCTTATTTAGGCTTTGAAAGAATATTCACCTGATGAAGCAAAAGTTTTACGTGATGGACATTTAAGCAAACTTCATGCTTCGGAACTTGTACCAGGTGACATTATTGATGTCGCTGTAGGTGACAAAGTTCCGGCTGATTGTCGAGTATTAAAGATTTATTCATCTGCTTTAAGAGTCGATCAGGCTATTTTTACTGGTGAAAGTGTTAGTGTTAATAAAGATACTAATCCAGTTAAAGACCGGCAGGCTGTGAAGCAAGACCAAACAAATATTCTATTTACGGTATTTTCTCTTATTCATATTTACTAGATCTATATTTTATTTTTTATTATTATTTATTTTATTTTTTAATTTTTACCTTTTTTTTTTTTTGGATATATTTATTTGTTATATTAAATATTTTTATTTATTGATCTATTACGTATCCTATTATTGTAGGGAACCACTATAGTACTTGGAAAGGCACGTGCCGTTATTGTTAAAACTGGTGCAAACACGGCTATTGGTGATATTCATGAAAATATTGCTAGTCAAATATCTGCTAAAACGCCTCTAAAAATTAAATTAGATGAATTTGGTGAACAATTGGCAAAGGTTAGTTTTATAATTTAATGGTTATTTTTATTTTATTTAACTTTTCTATGAATATTATGACTTATATATTTATATAATTTAAAAGGTTATTACTGTGATTTGTATACTTGTGTGGGTGATAAATATTCGTCACTTCAATGATCCTTCTCACCATGGTTGGGTTAAAGGTGCCATATATTATTTCAAAATCGCGGTTGCACTAGCTGTTGCCGCTATTCCCGAAGGTTTGGCCGTAGTTATCACAACATGTTTAGCTCTTGGTACAAAAAAAATGGCCAAGAAAAATGCAATTGTTCGATCTCTTCCATCTGTTGAGACTCTGGGTTGTACGAGTGTCATATGTTCTGATAAAACTGGTACTCTCACTACAAATCGTATGAGCGTTTCTAGGGTATTTGTTTTACAATATTCATATACTTTGAATATCTCGAAGTATTTAACTAATTAATATATTACTATTCATATTTGTTATTTAGTTACTTGTCATAACAACCGAGCATGCTGATGTCCAGGAGTATCATATTGATGGTTCTAATTACTCACCACACGGAAAAATCCTTACGGCTGATGGCGAAAATGTCAATTTTCTTCCTGAAAATAGTCCTTGTATTAACGATCTAGCAAAAATATGTGCTCTTTGTAATGACTCCCGAATTGCATATGATGAAGTAAGTTTTCAGAGGACGCCTCTTATATTCACTTAACTAATTTATTAATTAATTCATTAACTAATTTATTAATTTATGGTTTTCTCTATAGACTACTGAATCTTATCATAATGTCGGTGAACCAACCGAAGCTGCTTTAAAGGTCCTCGTCGAAAAACTTGGAACCGATAGTAATTCATTTAATAGTACTTTAAGCTCTTGTTCTTCAAAAGCACGTGCTACTGCTTGTAATGATTACTATGAAAATAGATTCCATCGTGTAAATATTCAATGTTATTTTAATCTTTCGGTTTAATCTCTTGTTTTTGTGTTAATAAATATTTAACCTTCAAAATTACTTTATATTACTTTATACAGTTGGCCACTCTCGAATTTTCTCGTGATCGTAAATCCATGTCAGTCATTGTTCAAAATATGAATACCAAATCAACCTCATTACTTGTCAAGGGTGCTCCTGAATCAATATTAAACAGATGTACTTCTATCCAATTATATTCCTCATCCACTCCTATTCCGCTTACTCCTGTTATGCGAGAAAAATTATTTGAGAAACTCTTAGAATATGGTCATAAAGGTTTACGAGTTCTTGCTATGGCCAAAATCGAAAATTGTCCAACCAATTGGGATCTTCGTGACCCTTCAAATTTTATTAAGTTTGAAAAGGATATGATTTTTATGGGTTTAGTAGGCATGCTTGACCCACCACGTCCTGAAGTTCTTGATGCTATTAAAAAATGTAAGACGGCTGGAATAAGAGTTATTGTTATAACTGGTGACAATCAAAACACTGCTGAAGCTATTTGCAGATCAATTGGTATTTTTGGTGAACATGAAGATTTAACTGGAAAATCTTATACTGGTAGACAATTCGATGATCTTTCAAATGATGAAAAAGCTGAAATTTTAAAGAGTGCTAGTTTATTCTCAAGAACTGAACCATCACATAAAAGTCAACTTGTTGATATACTACAAAAAAATGGTGAAATAGTGGCAATGGTAAGTGATTACTTCAATGATTGAATGATAAATGTTTGAATTATAAATAATTGTATAATAAATACTTAAGTAATAATTGTTTGTTATCATATATATACATATTAAATTTTAAAATTATAGACAGGTGATGGTGTCAATGATGCACCAGCTTTAAAGAAAGCTGATATCGGTATTGCAATGGGTTCTGGTACTGATGTTGCTAAATTGGCTGCTGATATGGTTCTTGCGGATGATAATTTTGCTAGTATCGAAGGCGCTGTTGAAGAAGGGCGATCAATATATAATAACACAAAACAATTCATTCGGTATTTAATTAGTTCAAATATTGGAGAAGTTGTAAGGTAAATATATCTATATATTCATTTTTCTCCATTAATTTTCATTAATTTGAATTTTTATTAATTTATAATCTTTTATTAGTATTTTCCTTACAGTTCTTCTTGGTATGCCAGAAGCTCTTATTCCCGTCCAACTCTTGTGGGTAAATCTTGTAACTGATGGTCTTCCTGCAACTGCCCTTGGTTTCAATCCTGCGGATCATGAAATTATGCGCCGTCCTCCTCGAAATCCTCGAGAACCTTTTGTTGGAAAATGGCTATTTTTCCGCTATATGGTTGTTGGTACTTATGTTGGTGCTGCTACTGTGTTCGCATATGCTTGGTGGTTCATGTTCTATTCAGAAGGTCCTCAGATTTCTTTTGAACAATTGGTAATCTTTTTATTTATTTTACTCATTTAAATCTATTTTGTTTATTGAATTTATTAATTTTAATTACATTTCTTCATTAAAGACAAACTTTCACAAATGCAGTGATCTATTCCCAGAGATTGGCTGTGAAATGTTTACAAACATTATGGCTAGTCGTGCTACCACAATGTCGCTTTCAGTGCTTGTCACTATTGAAATGTTTAATGCTACAAATTCTTTGAGCGAGAACGAAAGTTTACTCACACTACCCGTATGGAGTAATCTTTACCTTGTTCTTTCAATCTTCCTTTCAATGGCCTTACATTTCATGATATTATATGTGCCATTCTTTTCGGTAAGTTCTTTTTTATTTTATTCATTTTATCTTAATAATCCTAAAAAAAAGTAACTAAAAGTAATTATTTCATTTTAATTTTTCATAGAAACTTTTCGAAATTGTACCCCTAAACACGACGGAATGGGCTGCCGTGATACTAATGTCGTTCCCTGTTATCATAATCGATGAGGTACTAAAATTCGTCAGTCGGAACTTTGTTGGTATGTCACTTTATACGGTATTTCTTATATTAAATTATTTTTAAATCACCACTAATTAAATTATTATCACCATTTTTAGCCCCACCAACAAAACTCAAGATTGAGTAACAATTTTAAGTATATGTATGTATAAATGTATAGGGAGGAACTTAGGAAAATTGAGGTGTATACTAGTGAATTACTTTTTAATTTTTTTCCGATTTTAATAAAGGATGAAACGAAATAGACGTTTGGTATTTAAACTTAAATGTTATTGTTGGTTAATAATTCGTGTCATAGTCACTAAAATTTTTAATTAAAGTCAGAAGTGATGATTAGTGATTAGCTTTACTATAAAAAAATGTAAAATTAGGGATGCTAATGGCGTTCTCTGGGGTGGTATATACT